AGAGATAAGGGAGGGAAGGAAGAAAGAGATAAGGCAGGAGTTAGAGAGGAAGAAAGAAAGAGATAGAGTTTGTTGTGTGGACGAGAGAAGAGGATAAGTAATAAGGATTATATAGTACGTGTTGATTTTTATTTCCGGTTAGTAACATCAACCGGGACTAAAGTTAGATCTTTAGTCCCGGTTGGTGTTACAAATCGGGACTAAAGATCCTAAACGCCTGACACGGTCTGACATGGAACCAACCGGGAATAAAGATCATCTAGTCCTATTGTTCTTATAAACCGGCACTAAAAATCGTTTTTAGTCTCGGTTTTTAATGGAACCGAGGCTATTATAGATTTGGGTCGATCGATCAAAGATGGTTTTTCCACCAGTGAGCGATCTATTCGAAGAGGTAAACTGGAATGTCCTCCAGAATGGAATTGACAAGCTCGATATATATTGCTATATATAATTGATTGCAAATGAATGTTATCATGGTACGTGTATGGTTGAAATATTGTTTGGCTATTTTTTTACAAATATGTATTTTTCTAAAAGTAAATTTCACGTAATCTATCTATGTTTAAGTTGCATGAGCATAACGTATGAGTTTTGGTAAGTGGTACATAACCCCGAGTATTGATCACAAAACTATACTATTGATCATTTTGAGTTTTATATACCACATTTTTTTAGTTCTTCAATCATATTTTAAATTTATGAGTTTTTATTCATCCTATAAATGTTATATGTAAGTAAAACATCACTTAAATTTAAATTTTGATATAAAAGTATGTCAAATTGGTCAACAGTATGGTTTCTTGGAACACTACAATATCTGAGGTTATATGATAGTAGGTGCTAAAATTCATATCGTTTTATACAACTCGAAGTCTCGAACCATAACATGTGGGTTTTATGAAATTTATCTTTTATATACCATCTTCGTCCCAAAAATAAGTGCGGCCGTGGATATCCGTGTCTAACGTTTAACCGTTCGTCTTATTTGAAAAATTTATGAAAAAATAAAATTAATTAATTAAACATAAAGTACTATTCATATTTTATCATCTAATAAAAATAAAAATACTAACCATTAAAAAATTTCAAATAAGACAAATAGTCAAACGTTAGACATAAATAATACAAAACATTACTTATTTTGGACAGAGAGTACTAAATAAACAGATCACTGTGTGAACAAGTTGGTGGGCTTTCCACAGCTAGGATGAATGTAAGTACTGCACTAGTTCAGTGGGCCTCTGATTGCTAGCTTTTCCTTGTTTCTTTCCGTGGCTAAATTTAGAATTTCAGGACATGGACACTTCTAGCTAGAATTTGGCCCAATATATATAATACACGTTGGAGCCCTGGAGGGAGGTTTTTCAAATTTCTAGCCGGTGCATACGTGACCACACTTAATGAAGGTAAATTGTCAACTTAGTGAACAGAGATATTACAGTTTTATTTAAGTCATATATATAGAAAAACTTCTGTCATGGAGTTCTAGTGTGGAGATCATACTTTATCCAATCATTCTATGTTTACTAGTAACTATTAGCTAAATTATATATATTAAACCAAAGAAATATGTGGAATCTATTGTTGGAAATAAAATAATTTGTTGTGTGATTATAATATTTATAAGTTTGTTTCATGAGTATGTATAGCATTTTTTAAAGAATTAATCCGAATTACGCCATACTATCGTGGTCGTCCAATTCCCCATCAATTTAAATACTATACATTTCACACCGTGAGTTTTTTAAACCGGACAAATTACACACCTAAGCATTAAATGGCTTTGGTCCAAGTTGGCAAAGGTATCATCACACAAGGCAGTCCAGTCATAAAAAAAATAAAATAGACAGGGCCTACCTATCATATCTATCTTCACTCTCCTCTCCCTCGCTGCCCAAATCCCCCTCTCTGAGAAGTTAAGCTCCACATCCTGCGGCGGCGTACATCTTGCATGTTGAAGAACCAGAGCTCGCATGGCATAGGGAGGACGCCAGCAGTGGCGAGGCGGAGGAGGAGGTATCATCGGAACTCGCACGGAGGTGGCTGCAGCAGGGCGAAGCTTGCGAAGGAGGAAGAGGTGGTGGTGGCGGAGCTGGAGCTTGCAAGAAAGCTACAACGAGCCCTCTGCCAGATCAAGTATCATTCCCCATGATTCCACCGACCACTCTCAACGATTTATGCTTCTTCGTCTCCGGTGGAGATGTTGTGTGCTGTTGTACGCTTGCAGCACCAAGTTTGGGCATGGCAGTGGAGGCTGCTCTCCCTCCGCTACTCCCGTCGCCGACCAGAGGTGGGGAGTGTGTGCAAGGAACACGATGGTTCGGCGATACCATCGTTGTGGTCAAGATTTAGCAGCGTGAGCCCCAACCACGCTGTCGCCTGCGAGCACAAAGAACAAGACAATCCTTCAGTGGTGGCAACACGTAGAGGTGGATCTGGAGGTTGGTTTCATCGCCGATATTGTCATGGTTATGGATACCACATACCCAATAGTAATCAACTAAGCTCGGTGGGACCCATCATATACCAAGTATTATACGGAATCATACATCATATATAGAAGAAGTTCCGGATAAGAAAGGACGAGTAGAGTTCTATATGGAAACGCAAAGATCTACTTGGATCGTATCCATATTTGTCTCCCTAGTTCTATTTGGACAAGTGGACATCTATGGGTATAAATACAAGCCCCCTAGGAGGGGAGGAGACATGACACAACACACCCGCCATAGTTTACGAAGTTGGAGGACATGAAGCCAAATTCGCCATGAGATCTCGTCAAATGGTCTCGACAAGGATCTCACCAGTATCGCCGAATTCATCTGTTCTCTTTGTACTCTGTGGTTTTTCATATCAATCTCATATAAACTAAACTAGGGCTATTACCTCACAAGGGGTCCGAACCTGTATAAAAATCTTGTTTCGATTTCTTTTACCTCAAACTCGCATATGTCCTGGTACCGATGATCTCCATAACATGCAAAATACCATAGTCGTGACCTCAAATGTCGACAGATATCTCCCGCTTCTTCACACTGCAAGTGGCCAGACATTTGGTCCTACCGCTCTCTAGAGCTGCCCTGACAAACACCAAGGAGGCGAGGGGAGGGGAGGGCGCCACCACCGAGGAGGATGGCGACGGTGGGCAGTGGCGGTGGTAGAGGCGGAAGGGCGCAGTGGATGATGGTGGTGGCAATGGGAGTCTAGCAAGGAGGAGGAAAGCAGTCAAAGGAGAAGGAGCAGCAAGGAGGCCTCCACATTACCACCGTCATTTCGTCTATTGGCCAAGACAGGATGATAAAGAGGAGAGAAACACTGTTAGGTGGGCCTTGTACATAGATTTTACATCTAGAACTGCCACGTTAGACCAAAACCTCTTGGGATTGAGTCGGTTTGTCCAGTTTAGATAGTTGATGGAACTTAAATGTTTAGTATTCAAATTACAGGTGTAATTCGGATGATCGCAACCGTTCAGGGGTTAATTCATATTTTTTCCTTTTTATAATGATAAACTTAGTTTTGGAGATTATTGTTTTATGGAATACTAATTACAAGTGGGTGATGATATGATATACATTCATGTTAAGTTTTAGCTTTTAATAGTTACAGGTGGGTGCCAATTATGTAGAAGGTAAAGATATACTCTTTAATAAATAAATAAAATAAATATTAAATTCTTCTATAATTAATAAAAATACTTTGCCATGATAATACCTCATACTATAAATCCGTGAATATAAATATATAAAGTCTTATATAACAAACTAATACTCTTCCAATAATATAGTCTACAAATTAATTCATAGCAATATTAAACGGTCAACTAATGAAAAAGGATCAAAATAAAAATTCAAGGAATATTAGAGAGTATAGAAAACTCGGGAGCATAGATGAATGTGATTTTAAGGGTATGGAAGGAATTTTCTTAAATATTAACTGCATAGAGTACACATTAATGGAGTCTTAAATTCTAGGTTAGTTGAGGCGCTGATGAGCTACCTACATTTAGCTATCCAGCATGAAGAAATCCCCCAGACACGACGGCATGGCCACGACGGCCATTCGTTAATTAATTTGACATGTTGTTTTATCTGAAATATTTGTTTTAGGGACGATAGCTCCATCAGAATGGCTAGCTAGCTTCATTGATGATTGATGAATTAATATTTTTGGCCTGCATGATTCAAACGTGTTCCTCAATGATATATCTTGATGATTTTGCATGCCAGATTTGATATATATATGTGTATGGTCATATATATATATATATATGTTGATGTTGAACGAACTGTTATAGCTCACCAAACATTATTCCCACATACAGATTTTGCTGGCCTACCATGCATGTTTATGTTGCAACGTGTCTGATCATCCTTAATAAATAGTGTAAAGAAAATGAGCTATGTTTTTGTCTCCTCAAAATTTTAGCAAAATTGCGTGGTTCTAGATAGTTAATCCTGCAAGGTCTACTTTGATGGAGAAATTTCACGGGAAATTCCCATTCTTTTTCATTTAAACACATGCAACCACGTAATTCCAAATTTAAGCACACAATATTCAAAATTATTTTTCTAATCAACATGCATGCTTGCGTGAGCACGTAATATATATATATATATATATATATATATATATATATATGAACGTCCATTTAGAGTGAATTAATTAACAACTATAAAATTTAGGAAATTCCTAACTCTAATATTACTTGTGCCAAAAGTTTCCAATGCATTTTTTTTAATGTCCTAGCTACCTCTTCTTTTAATATTATAAGACATTTGAGGTTCTTGATATATACATGAATGGTATTGAATATAGACGAAAAATTGAGATGCCAAAACGTTATAATATGGAACGAAGGAAGTATTTGTTTCTGTTAAGAAATTTCCAAATCTTTTCTCATCTGCCTAAAATTTGGCAGCTAATTAAAATAAACGAGAAAATGCTACTTATAAAATGAACGTTCGCTGTTTCTTCTTCCAGCGGACAAAACTGCCTATAAAACGGAGCTCCATCCAAACACGAGCTCAACTCAACTCAAAAGCTCACCCATCCAAGCAAGCAAGCAAGCCAGCGTAGTCGTCGTGATCAATGGCGTCCACGGCGGCAGTGATGGAGCGCGAGCGCCTCACGGCGGAGATGGCCTTCCCGCCGGCCGTCGTGGCGGCCGGCGGCGGCGCCAGCTGCAAGCCGGGCGCGGAGCCGCGGAGCATCGTGATCAAGATCCGCCGCCGGCTGCCGGACTTCGCCCGCTCCGTCAACCTCAAGTACGTCAAGCTCGGCCTCCTCTCCGCCGGCTTCCCGATGCCGCCGTCGCCGTCGTGGGTGGTGATGCTCGCGCTCGCGGCGGCCGCGGCGTACGGCCTGTTCGACGTTGCCGCGCTCTACGCCGTCGACCTCGTCGGCTGCGCCGCGTGGCTGTGCGCGGCGGCGCTGCTCGTCGCCGTCTGGTACGCCAGGCGGCCGCGGCCAGTGTACCTCGTCGAGTTCGCCTGCTACAAGCCGGACGGCGACGAGCACGAGATCAGCAAGGACGGGTTCCTCGAGATGACGGAGAGCACGGGGTTCTTCAATGGCGAGGCGGTCGCGTTCCAGACCAAGATCACCCGCCGCTCCGGCCTCGGCGACCGGACGTACCTGCCGCCGGGCATCCAGGCGCGGCCGCCGCGGCTGTCCATGGCGGAGGCGCGCGCCGAGGCGGAGGCCGTCATGTTCGGGTGCCTCGACAAGCTGTTCGCCGCCACGGGCGTCGACCCGAGCCGCGACGTGGGCATCCTCATCGTCAACTGCAGCCTCTTCAACCCGACGCCGTCGCTGGCGTCCATGGTGGTGAACCGCTACCGGATGCGCGAGGACGTCAAGTCGTTCAACCTCGGCGGCATGGGGTGCAGCGCCGGGCTCATCGCCGTCGACCTCGCCCGCGACCTCCTCCAGGCCAACGCCGGCGCCCTCGCCGTCGTGGTGAGCACCGAGAACATCACGCTCAACTGGTACTTCGGCAACGACCGCTCGATGCTGCTGTCCAACTGCATCTTCCGCATGGGCGGCGCGGCGGCGCTGCTGTCGAGCCGCGGCGGCGACGCGCGGCGAGCCAAGTACCGGCTGCTCCACACGGTGCGCACCCACAAGGGCGCCGCCGACGGGTGCTTCGGCAGCGTGTACCAGCGCGAGGACGAACGCGGGAGGGTGGGCGTGTCGCTGGCGAGGGAGCTCATGGCGGTCGCCGGCGACGCGCTGAAGACGAACATCACCACCCTCGGCCCGCTCGTCCTCCCGCTCGCCGAGCAGCTCAAGTTCCTCCGGTCGCTGGTGCTCCGGCGGGTGCTCCGCCGCGGCGCGCGGCGCCCCTACATCCCGGACTTCCGGCGCGCGTTCGAGCACTTCTGCGTGCACGCCGGCGGGCGCGCCGTGCTGGAGGAGGTGCAGCGGAGCCTCGGCCTCGGCGACGGCGACATGGAGGCGAGCAAGTGCGCGCTGCACAGGTTCGGGAACACCAGCAGCAGCTCGCTCTGGTACGAGCTCGCCTACGCCGAGGCCAAAGGCCGCGTCCGCCGCGGCCACCGCGTCTGGCAGATCGGCTTCGGCTCCGGCTTCAAGTGCAACAGCGCCGTCTGGCGCGCGCTCCGCGACGTGCCGCCCGTCTCCTCCGGCGCCGGCGACGGCGAGGAGGAGCGCCGCCGCGTGAGCTGCAACCCGTGGGTGGACAGCGTGGAGAGCTACCCGCCAAAAGCATACATTTGATGATCTTTTGTGATTGCTGTCGTTCAGTTGCAATCCACGAGATTTGCATGATGACTATACACGTACCCAGCAGAACGCTACACTAATTATTAGACTTGCTCAACTAGTGTGTTGTTAAATATTCTGTTAATCAATTTGTCTTTCAGATTATAGGGCCACAGTTTGAAATTTAAATATATGCATGTAACAATTTCTTTTTTTCAACTGTGTATATATATACGAATTCTTTATATATGCCAAATTTTGTCAGCGAGGAGCCGGGGATTCGAGTAAGCAAGAAGAATATTTGCCCGACCTTCACGACCTAGGAACAATTGCTCTGATTTCTTGCAAAAATACTCCATCCGTTTCAAAATGTTTGACACCGTTGACTTTTTAGCACATATTTGACCGTTCGTTTTATTCAAAAATATTTATGAAATATGTAAAACTATATGTGTACATGAAAGTATATTTAACAGTAAATTAAATGATATGAAAAAAATAAATAATTACTTAAATTTTTTGAATAAGTTAAATGGCCAAACACGTACTAAAAAGTCAACGGTGTCAAACATTTTGAAACGGAGGGAGTAGATAAAATAGTTGTGATGAAACTGTTAGGCAAGTAGGTGAGGTAGGCTTGACACTCCAGCAAAAATACATGCAACTTCACTTGAGTCTAAGCAAGTATAACCTTCAGAGGAGATTTTGTCAATGTTGGGGTGCATCTGAATGTGCAAGAAATTCAAATATCTTGAACTTGAAGTCTATCTGCATGCAGGTAATTGTTATTGTCGCTATTATACGACTTTTCGAAAAGGACCAATTGACTCTTCGGAACCGTACGTCGGCATCCGCTGAATTTGGTCAAATTAACCTTCTCATCATTGTTTTGGATCGTTCTATAACATTAGGTTTCTGACCTAAAATTATCCTTATTATATATGTAGAATTTGGCTTCCATCAAAATCACGTGTACACCGTTTCTGAAAATTTGCAAACTGGGGAGGTACGACGAGGGTGTTCTACAATATTTTACTGCTAAGAGTAACACCTAATTAATATTGCCGACTTGATCTGTAGTATGTATCATTTCACACTAACGAAAAATTGACGTTTATTATTCTTTCACTTTCTTAATCGAATGTTTTGATTACCAACTTTCGTTTTAGCATTAATTGGGATGTGAAACTACGTTTAATTTATATTATATAAATAATAGAAAGCACAGTTTGAAAGCTGTAGAGGACATTTTTTCGATGGGATTGTTGTCAACTTGTTTGGCAAGAAGACAATCACGATTGGGACATCTAAACGCCTTGCGGTGATTGTAGAGTCGCTAACCACCTCAATCTAGCAAAAAGCTAGACTAAGATATGTTTTGTTAGATTAAACCGGCTAGCGGAGTTAATTTAGATAGAACGATAGATAACTACCCGTCTCGTGGGCAAACAGAAAGTTTACGGGACAAATCTACAAATGATTTCGAACTCTCGTAGCGAAGGCAGACGATTTATAGTGCAAAGCGACAAAGATGGACGAACTAAACTAGAAATAGATTGAAATAATGAAAAAGCAATTCAATAGGCCTGTATGTAGATTATATGTTATTTTTACAATTGAATCTGACTTGTCCCTTATATAGGGGTTGGTCTTGCCTCCTACAAGTTCTGCTCCACTTCTAACTCGGGGTAGAACCAATGGAAACCTGATCGAGTAAGGAAACTCGAGACCCGACGAAAACAGACTCGGCATCGGACTCTGCTGGTCTGAACGACCACATGCCGTCGGTCAGACTGGCCAATACACAGCGGTCAGACCGGCTCTGTGGAGGAAACCGGCGACTTTCCCAAATCTTGGCAATTTTCCTTATTTTGAATCTAGGTACCAAATTTGGGTGTAAACAGGGATAACTATACATTTTCTACTCAAGCGTATGTGTGACCTTTTTTGGTACTTGACACATAGTAAAAAGAGAGGCTGTGTTTTTTTAGATTTAGTGGAAATCTAAAAAAACAGAGAGATAGGGGTCGGGTAAGTTGAACATGGGTTCGCATCCTCTATCATAATGGCACATGTGGGCAAAAAATAAAAAGTGAGACCCACATGGCAGTAAGTCTAATGGTAATGACATTATGGCAGAGGATCCTTACCCGCTAAACGTATAGCACTCGATGAAAATTAATTATTTGATCTACAAGATGGGTTTTTGAACACCAATTTTACAACAGGAGTAATTTTAACTACACATGTACTATGCCTCCGTCCCAGAATACTTATCATTTTAGGTTGTTTAGCATATATTAAGGTTAGGAGGAAAGACTATAATACCCCTTAATAAATAATGTACAGTTGGATGTAGAATGGTGGTTGGGGGTAGAATGGGGAGAAATTTTAATTAGAAGTGGTTAATGTGACAAGTAGTACGTACTTCAAAGTGACAACTATTTTGGAACAACTTTTAAATGCTAGAAAGATACGGAGTAAATATTGTGGGACGGAAAAAATATATTATATATCACATACTGATCTACGCTGTCATGTTTTTTCTAGAAAACATCGTATCTAGATGACATTCATGAAGTGAAGGGATGCGAAGGATGTCCCTCTTGAGATGAAAATATTCGGTGGGTGAGTAGGCTTGACTTAATTAGCAGCCTATATATATATATATATATATATATATATATATATATATATATATATATATATATATATATATATATATATATATATATATACGGTACTCGTTGTCAGCTGATACAGCCGGTTTAACTGTCAGATGAGAGTCATTTGTGTATTTAAGAAATGGAGTGATTTCATCATCACTATATGTGTGTAGGTGTACCTAAAAGAATGCTTTGTGTATTTCTTGAAGTCCTGTAACTGCAGGTACTTCTTTGCTTTTTGTATGGGAACGTTGACTTTTAAAATTTTAAGGAAAAACAGGTAAGTACCATAAAAATACACTGTTTATTCACAGGTAAGAACGTCACATACGATTGTATTTTTCAACTCCATGATTTTTTGTCACAAATTGGGTGCCAGTGATGAAAATTGAGTGTCTCATAACTTCACCAAGCGGCATTTTTTACCTATTGTCTATACACGAAGTTATGTAGTACTAGTAGTGTTATGCTTCCATCGAAATCACACACCCTTCTGCAAATTATACAAAATAACTGTGTTTTAAACTTCAGTAGATTTATTTTCCTCCAAAATTTTAAACAAATCAGTTGGCAAATCTTGCCACCAATCACGCAGGATTGAATCAAGTATTCAGGTTAATCGCCAAACAATAGTTGAAAGCATTGTCATCAAAGCAAGTGGGTACATTAATTTGTCTATTCCCAGTGGTAAATTCCAGTGTTTGTTCACAAATGGCAAATTGCACCACATTTTTTTGATGCCAGTTGCCACCTTCGACACGTCTAGATTTTTTTCGCCTATGGACAATCTATCAGTTATCACAGGTAGGGATTTATAAATCGGTTTTGCACTTATATCTTTCGGGGTCAAAATATCCGAAATTGCAGAAATTTTAAGATATTTCGGCCCAAAAATATTTGAAATTAATGTGAAGAAAATTTGGCTGAATTTAAACAACTTTTTCTAGATTCATGAAATTCAAAATAAATAAAGTTTTCGGGTGAAATGGTATCGTTTAGCAGTGGGATCAAGCTACGACCAATATTGACTTTCATGTTTCACATGAAATCCGATGTTCTGATTGCCGACAGGGATATTTATCGTCTTAAATTTTTGAGACTCGCTCCTGTCTAACGAAAAAAGTACCTCGAGGTACCGATACTTTATGGTAACAAATCGTTTTCGATCGTTGGATCTAACAATGTCCATCCTGCCCAGTTAGATTTTTCACTCCTTTGCATGGAATATCCGGTCTTTTTAAGGGCCTACATGTAAAGTACCTAGACCGAATTACGCGCGAAGCGGCTGGCCTTTTCGTAAAATTTTCACTCCGCAGGCATTGTAGCGATTGTAGCAAAACGCAGACGTGACACACCCCATCGACCGCTCCATGTGCGAGCCTTTTATTTTCTCCGATGTCATGCATCGTCCTAGCTAATAGAGCAGCTACAGGGGACTGTCATCTGCAGGAAAAACCATAAATGTTGATTCCCTTTGTGATAACTAATTAATACTTTTATGAAAGGTACTCCCTTCTCTAATAAAAGATATATTAAAAAAACGATTAGAACATTACTATATTCTTCATTAATACGCATAAAAAATGACAAGGGAAAAACGAGAAGCAGGAGAGAAAGTACTATTGATTCAATGACTGAAAATAAAAAGAAAAAGATATGGTGCCATTAACTAAAGACGTCTACTAAACCGCTCTAAAATTATACACTTTTATCAATAAATTTTGAAACTATACACTTTTATCAATAAATTCTAAGACTAAAACTACATTTATTTAAAAACAGAGGGAATGCACTCTTCAATCATATCCTTTAATTAGGCATGCTCGACTGATAGGTAAAGTGACCACACATGTAGCACTCATACAAGAGACGAACTATGAAGTTCTCAAGGTAAATTATGTGCTACGTAGCAACCATATTGATTCTTTTTAAGAAACTAGTAACCGTGCACGTGCAATGCACGTCGTAACCTGTATTAAAATTACATTATTTTGAAAATCAAATTCATAGTAGTATATAATTAAAAGCTAGGATGCACATTTAAAAAATCAATATACTTTCACTTATAAGTTTGAATAACATAGCATAACTAATATTTTTCTGCGTGCACGTGCAATGCACGTCGTAACCTGTATTAAAGTTACATTATATTGAAAATCAAATTCATAGTAGTATATAATTAAAAGCTAGGACACACATTTAAAAAATCAACACACTTTTCACTTATAAGTTTGAATAACATAACATAGCTAATTTTTTTTGCTATTTAGTACCAAGGAAATCCTCCCAATCTTGCATCATAATACTTTTATATGAATTGAGAAAATATGGGTTGCGCTTGAGGTATCTTTAATGATAATGAAACAAATCACATATATACATAATTTTTTAACAAAATTATCAGTCAAGCATCATGTCCTACAAGTCAATAATATTATATATTTTATTTAAAACGGAGAAGTAATATTCATGCATCAAAGTGTGACTGCAATCTTGGATTTTTCATCAGCCTCATTGATTGAGCAATATACCAGTCAGAAAAACTTAAGAGAAATAAAATTTGCTCATGTTCAGTATAAAATTTCTTAGAATTTTAACTGTTCCCCATCACCCTATGTGCCAAGGGGTCAAGAAGACTAAAGGGAATGCCTTGGTTAGGTATAAAACTGCTCAGATTTTTGTTAACACTAATTTATTTGAAAATTGTAAACATAATCCCTTTCTCACTCCATGCCAAATTTTGCACAGAACAAATTGTAAAGCCCTGCTAGGTTGCTACAGAGTACAACCAATTCAACATTGGTAGCACTTGATGAATTACAACAGCTAGACGATTGTAAGGGTACAAAACACCAGATGAGAAAAAAACATTAGTTTAATCTAAGATAATATATTGTTCAAAACATCTTCCTCATGTATTGCCTTTCTCCAACTGAATCATGTATTCTGCACTTTATGAATTACAGTATTGATATCCAAGATCCGAGCTATGGTCAATCGGATCACCATGGAAAAGTTGTTTCCATTTCAGTTTTTTTAACAATGAGTTTCCCTTTCATTTATGCAATATGCATATGAAGAGATGGTCACAAACTAACTGTGCCTATGAAGACATGGTCACAGACTAACTGTGCCCAAAAATAGTTTTATCACTGCCCCATGTTATTGCCTTTTGCTCTTGAGCAGCAACCTAATTTTTTTTTGAATCTCAAACAATAAAAGCCACAAATGTATCAATTTTAATTTAACAAAATTCATAGAAGTAATTAAAGCTCCTTGTGACAGACCATCCTAGATTCAAACTACAGCTATTAAAGCGGCAATCTTGTGAGTTGTGATAAGAAAGTGACCTAGCTAGCTGCATACAACCTCCAACCTGTAGATAGGACTGAATAAATATGTAACCCTCTTTTCAATTTGGCAATTTAGAAAAGTATAAACTGGCATATGATGAACATCAAGAGTTTCTCCACAATTCCGGATTTGCAACAAAGTGGACATGCAGGAACGGAGGAATGGCAACGTAGGTGAAAAAAAAATAGTAGTTGTTTTTAAAATAAATTCAGCTGCAGCCCATCAATAAACTATCAGTAGCATAGTGCCTTGTAAAAATAAAGAAGTGTAAATATGTACCAATATGTTCATGTGCTTAGCAGAAATATGTTGGGCTACTTCTTTATGCGCAATCAACACAATGTGTTAAATATATCATATGTGTCAACTGTCAGGTGTCCTGGAGTAAACGAAAACTCTCAGATTGTTCAAGTGTTACATTGAGCTGATCAGTTTCATGCTGCCAATTCTGACAACCATTATTGTAAGAGGAAATACCTAGCTAGTACGTATGCAGCAGGAATTCTAGTGACAAGAAGTATGTAGTAAAATATGAATGTCAGATCATCAAATAGCAGAGCTGAGATTTAGAAATTACCTCCCAACCCAGATGACAGGTACTTTGAAGAGGTGAGTCCAAAATAACTAATATGAAACTTGATAATGTTGTATCATACAATTTAAGAGTAGGTGAGTCCAAAATAACTACTATGAAACTTGATAATATTGTATCATACAATTTAAGAGTAAATTGGAGAGATAATAGAAGTGGGGAAGCTACCAAGGTATTTTGGACATGTAGCTTTTGTACCAATTTTGCCCAAATCTTAATATCACCATTAAAGGACCACAAGAAACCATGATAATTACGTTTAGAATCAAACAATCAACTTTGGTATTGAATCTGAGGACTTCAGCTAAAGGAATTTCTCCTTTTGTTGGTTCTAATGGAAAAGCAGTGGGATAAAGCAATATCAAACTGCAAATTATTAGTAGTCGAAGAAATTAGAACAGACAATAAAGAGTGCATCGAATGAAAAAAGAATATGGTATTCCATATTTCAATGGTGAATGGCAGAGAAAAAAAAACATACCAGCGGGCTTTAGCTCGTAATGGGATAAATCGATTAGCTTGTAATAACTTCCTTGGATTTGCAACTCATGGGAATGCCTGGACAAGAAACAATAATTCTATTGAATTATTCTATCTCAAAGAACAATAATTCTTTCAATGCACATCGTCTATTTTCTTTCCAAAAAAAATGCAAATTGATTCTTGTTAGCAAAATAGAGAATGCATCTATTGAATTGCGAAGGGATAAATTTCTGACCACACATACATATACCTTCCTAATCAAGATTTCTGCGATAAAATCCTTTCCAATCATTATTGATCCAATAAAAGTATAATTCCCAGAATTGCTCCGACAAAACCCTTTCCAAACTGCCCCGCAAAATACTTTCCCAATAACGTTGCTCCGATTAAACCCTTTCCAAACAGCTCCCGACATATATAGCCTTCTCGACATCAAGTAAACAATTTTTGCTCATTCCACAATAAAACAGATTTCAGTCAGTCCACAATGATTCACTATGCCGTATCAGGATAAGAGCACATTCACCTGCAAGAAAACAACGATAGCAACTATAACAACAAAAACTACTGAATCACCGTTATGTCGTTTATGCTAGTTTAATCAACAGAGAAGTATTTAAATTACTTGGTTTCTGGGGGTGTGGCAACTATTTCCTTTGCAGCGCACCTGAACCGGCTCCATCACCGAAGAGGAGAAAACTGAGGTAATAAGCTCGATCCACAAAAATCTGACTGATTAGTGATTAGCCCCCACGCCTCCACCGCATCCTCTGTACTTGGTTCACCTACAAAGAACATGAAAGGAATGAGGGGGAAGAAATAAAATGTTTCATCGTAATTGGACATGGTGGCTAGGGTGGCTGCAGTGCAAGGGTGGGAACTCACCTGACGGGCGCTGGAGATGGGTGCTGGCCTGCTCGATCAGGCAGCAAGCCGGTGAGCGGCGGTGACAGTGGATGATGCCCGACGATGGGCGACAGCCTTGATCCAATAGCGAGAGCAGTCAACGCCGGACAACGACCTATATCCAACAGCGACGGCGATAGACACCGGGTGGCAGCCGATGACGGGAGGGGATCCGGCGACGGGAGGGTGACCAGCGACCGACGGATCGGCGACGCTCCCTGAGGAAGACAGAGGAGCTTAGGGCTTCCGTGAGGAGGGATTCGCGGAGGAGAGGCTTTCCTAGGGCCGGCGCGGGCTTCGCATGAAGCTCAGGAGCTATTTGCGGAGAAGCAATGGGGGCGTGCGTCCGTCGTCATCGGGGGCAGTCCCGGGCGTGGCACCGGCGGAAGGGGATGCGGTTGTGCGGTGGTGGCTCGGCGCTGATCCGGCGTTGTGGTGGTGCGCTAGCGGCGTTGGTCGAGTGAGGAGCGAGCGAGAGAGGATGCGCACGGCGGAGTCATCGTGGCTGGGTTTTATGTGGCGGAGTCACCGCTTCGGGGCGAAATTGGTGGAATCGATGGAATCAGTGGAGATCCAACAGCGGTGGAATCGGTGGAATCATTGGAATCACCGTCGCTGTTGGAATCAGCGAGGAGGAGCGGCTCGAGAAGAGCGAGGCGTGGTCAGCGCGCGATCATCGCGGGAGTCGTGTGAGGAGCAGCAGGAAGAGCCGCGCGAGGACCACCGCTCAATAGGAGGATGACAAAACGGATTAGGATAGAAGAAGATGGACGGTCCGAATTAGTAGATAGATGTGGATGGACGGTAGGGATTGATCCAGGTGATTTCACCTGTAGGATTGCTAGGGTTGAACTCCTCCTTTTTATATTAGTATAGATACGGTACAATTGCAGACTTATAACACATGCACACTCACTACTGTAAATACATACGTACATCCAACCACTATAAACACCTGTAACAGAGATTGAGACCTAAAGTGAGTAAGTGACCACATGTATAGCACTCAAACAAGAGAGAGACAGTGAAGTCCTCAAGGTATAATTAAGTGCTACTTTTCATACAACCATATTACTGTTTTTTTCGCATTATAAACGCAGGTAACGAGTATGTTACCTATAACTAAAACTAAAATAATAATTAGTCATAAATATGAGCACCCATTTTAAATCTTGGTGTGCAAATTGCACTAAAGGAAACTAATCAGTTGAGAAACTTTCACTTCGTGGCCATATATTAATTATGATAGAAAATTCCAATTAATATATTAATTGAGATACTCCCATTTGGATGAAGCCAAGCTAATTTGATGTCATTCCCCAACAATTACCTTTAAGGTCCCGTTCTTTTCTACCAAAAAAAGCGAAAAGAATTTGGATATTCATTTGTGGCATGCTTTTCAAACTATTAAATGGTGTATTTCGTGTGAAAACTTTCTATATAAAAGTTTCTCTAAAATACCAGATTAATCTATTTTTCAAGTTTGTAATAATTAAAAGTTAATACCATCTTATTTTTCGTAAAACACTTAATTTTCATCTTTATCTTTATCTTCATGAGAAAATAACACTATTAGATGATCCGGTGGAGAAAAGCATAATGCCCTTGTTCTCCTAGCGCCAAATATATTTGACTAATGCATGGGAGAATCTCTTTGAGAAAGCATAAGTGATCGGGTGGTAGAAGACATGTCATGGTTGAGCTTAGGCCCTGTTTAGTTTCCAGAAAATTTTTTCCAAAAACATCACATCGAATATTTAAACACATGTATAAAGTATTAAATATAGATAAAAATAAAAACTAATTGCACAGTTAGGGGGGAAATTGCGAGACGAATCTTTTAAGTCTAATTAGTTTATGATTAGTCATAAGTGCTACAGTAACCCACATATGCTAATGACGGATTAATTAGGCTCAAAAGATTTGTCTCGCGGTTTCCATGCGAGTTATGAAATTAGTTTTTTCATTCGTATCCGAAAACCCCTTCCGACATCCGGTCAAACGTCCGATGTGACATCCAAAAATTTTCATTTCACGAACTAAACGGGGCCTTAGAGCTACAGATATGTAGAAGGACGATAAGGGTGACAGACGCCATTTGGTTAGGAGGCGGCAGATAGCAGCAGCGGTGGATCTAGCGGTGCAAGCCGCCAGACACAGAAGAAGGTGAAACTGGGTGGAGAATTGTGCTGGGATTGATGAAGGTGTGTGAAAGCAAGTTTAGTAGGAGAGCTTAATGCTAGCTATAAACTCATTTACAACCAACATATATAATATATTAGCTACAAGTTTATCTTTATTTTTTCTTATCTCCTTCTCTCACTTATGCATTTAATTTATTTATCTTGTAGCTGTAGGGATACGGGCATGTTAAAATAACATAAATCAAATTTTTTTACTACGTAAACCGGGAAGCATGCTAGTGCGAAATTATGATTCACTACAACTCTACATGCTGTGCAGCAGAAGTGGGTGCTAAGAAGCCGAAAGAACGCCGGCGATGTAGCGCACATCGATGTAGAGGAAATAGGCGATCACTGGAGCCTGACCTTCTCCTCCTCATGCGTTCGCCTCTCCGTACTCCCATGCTGATGAGTACCGCAAAACAGCGGCGCCTTTAACAATATCAACACGCTCAGGGATGGAATGCCATGCGCAGACGTGCTAGCGTCCGTGTGCTGGTAGATTTTGGCTGGGGGGTGACAGCTAGGTCTTCTCACACACACCAGTCTCATCACCTCAAGAATATAGAGGATCCATAACTGGGCCTCCGAGGCCCATAGGAGTCCTATTTAGATCCCTATCCAAATTAAGTACATATTAGATAGATATCCAATCCCTTTATTTCAGCATGTTAAGAGTGCAACCCTGTAAGTTCATGTATACTCGGTTGTAACCCGAAAACTCATTTTCTGTCCACTTGTCGACAACGGCTCCTAGAAGAACATATTGATCGATCGGATATATATAAAGATCATATCGGTTGAACCTCTAGCGTATACTGGTATGAACCCCTTTGCCACACGATATCGATTAAGTTATAGGCTAGATGTGTATCATCCTTTAATAGTTCAATCATTTACTCGATCATATGATAGATTAGTTACTTAACCTATGATTAACTCCTCAACTACTTTTCGCATGATCATGCACTTTTATAATCTAGAACATTGAGGGAGGCAGAGATATTTCTCCGTAGAAAGGGTAAATCCCATCTTGATTGTTCATATCCCACTACATGTTTCATAGCATGCTCATATAGCTACCCAATCACGGAGTAGCAATTGGGAACCTCTATGCAAGCTACCACACATGTTGAAAACTATGATAATATCAGGTCTAAGAATTCTACACCAATACTAAATGAGACAACCAATGGCAAATCACATATAACTCTTGCAGTATCTCATGTTGGTTTTATAAGCATGTTCACCAACATATGTCCATATTATTAATTTGGTATCGCCATACCATGATCCATAAGACATGATTATCAATCAATAAATGTGCTGATAATTGAATTGTACATATGATTTTTTTATCAGGGATCCTTTAGAAATAGTAACATACAACATAAGCAGTCTCATGAACGAATCACGTATTTATTAACCAATAATACGTTATCTATTTCAAAAAATAGCGCATGATAAATATGTAAATATAGTATATGATATAAACATCTCTATGATTATCTTTAGAGCAAATCACCAATAGTAGCACGTGTCGAGCTTAGCTTTTTTTTTTCTCTCCCCTGCATATAGGTTTATAGCTGATTTGTAGTTCATTATTATCATTGCTCCAATGGTAGTGAGAAAAGAAAACGATGCAGGCTGAGGTGAAGGGAGACGATAATGAATAGTGTGGCCGATGAGTCTTGGTGGCGGCATCGGCCGGCGCAGCAACATCGAGTGGCATCGTTATGGGTAGTGCCGCGAGTTCGGGATTCGACTCGGAGGATGATCTTAACCGTCCAAAAAGTATCTATCTCTACTATTATAAAAGTTGAAGATATTTTTCTAGTTTTTTGTTACGTCATCCGTGTTTGAGTCGGTTTTTAATCTGATACGCTTTGTGAATTACAAATTCATATTTTAGTCGTTTTTTAAGTTTGTTCGCTTTTGGAAATATAGAACGAGTTGTATAAGAAATTTCTTTTAAAATACTCACGTGCTAACTTGAAACGACCAGACTCCTAATTGTAGCTCAGGATATTGTAAAAACAATATCCAAGTGAATTCCCACAATGAAATTCACTTTAGCTAAACCATAAATATAACAATAATATGATTAAGATATCATTCACCTGTTGCAAGGTACGGGTATTTTTTCTAGTAAATTTAAAATGAGATATTTAGGAGGGTTATATCCAAATTAAATAGGAATTGTACGTATACGTGCTCCAAAAACACTGGCTGTTCATCATGCTTGACCAACATAAAGACAGTGCATTATTCGAGTACGTCAACTAGATGGTTAGATTAGGACACGAAACCACAAAGCGTGAGAACCTAAACCAACTTGTGATGGATCGATGTGATCCCAACAGTCGCGAGGATGGCTATATATGCGAGCTAGCTGAGCTTATAGCTTATCATCTGCTCGAGATCGCAGGGGAGAAACAGCAAGTCTCTAGTTGCTTGTGAGATTTGATTGGCAAAGGATACCCGATTTAGGGCGATCCATCGATTGAGTGCGATTCAGGTACACTGAATCATGAAAACGGTATGCTTAATTAAGGTTTGGATTGTGGCTGTCGTGCTAGCTGTGTGTATGCTCGTTGCGTTTAGTTTTTAAAGTTGTCCTGGACTGGATATGGGAACAACTTCTAATATTTCAATTGTCAAGTCTCTTTCAAATATTAATATTTTTTAGGAAATGTTTTTTATGTTTTCAGAAAGAACAATATTATAATTGACAAAATCGATTAATACGAGAAATCAGCTCTTGGAATAAAATTGTAATGTGTCATTTTGTTCACTCTAGGCCTTTTTTAGCTAAGATAAAAATCGTACCTCGGCTTTTTTAGCATGCTTTTTAACTGATAAATGGTTTCATACATTTCATGTGAAAACTCTTTACAATAGTTCTTTTAAAATATAAGATAAATATATTTTTTAAAAGTTAAAATAATTAAAACTTAATTAAGTTTGTACCAATGGCTTTCACATTTTGCATGCCCGCACTTAATCTTCATCAACCTAAAATGAACTTAAATGGGACCAGGTTACTCCTCAATTTTTAGAAAAATTTTATTGGCTGAGTTGGAAAATTCTAAAGAATGTTAGAAATGATTATTCCAATAATCTTGTTTTCTGCATGGCTAGTAAATTGGCCGTGGCCCCAAAATTTGTTTCGAGAGTAAAGGCTTGTCCCGATCACACCTCCACAGTTAAAAAAATTTGGCCTGGCCCTATGTGCCTCCTTACTACATCATTCCGCATTAATGGTGGAGTGATACGGTTCAAGTGAAAAAAAAAGTAGGCAGCATGGGCGACGCGACATGGTGTACTTCCCACTACTTTCAAACGCCGCCTATAGGGAAAAGGCAAGTAGCATGGAAAATGCTCCATGTTTCTTGTTTTGGGCCCTTTCTTCTTGGCTTTAGCGGTTGACGCGTGGGGTTAGCGACGACCCAAATGCTTGCTTCACTCATCCCGCGCCACGCGTCAGTAGGTGTATGTAGGAGCTTGCATTTAATCAACCAAAAGAATATGGGTTCAAAATAG